TATATACCCTTGCGGTAACGTGTCTAGGATTACGCAAACGTCATTCCGTAGTGAGTACTTTCACCGTAATATATATATATATATATATATGTATATAATCACCTCGAGTTTCTTCCGAATGCTGCACCAACAGATGTGGACTCATAGTGGGACGAGATTGCCACCTATTTATATAATGCTGGGAACTTTGCCTGTAGCACAGCACCACCAGGCTCACTCAGGCACTAGATAACAGACCTAACGATGGCGCTCCTTAAATCTCGCAGAAATATCCTATCCGGCCGTGAACATAACTTGATGCGACCAATTATCAGACGTCAAGTGAAAGTGGGCGTGCACGCCGTCTGTGAAGTGTGGCGGACACAGAAAGCCAAGAGACCCAGGAAGCCGGTGATGTCCGAAGATTATTTCAGTTGATTCGTGCGACCGGCCCCCGGAAACCACCTTTGATTGAAACCATCAAGGATCGGAAGGGAGTGACCATCTCGAATAAACAACAACGCTTCAACCATTGGGCGAAAAATTTCGAACAACAATTGTCATGGCCACCAGGGGGCACTCATCTGTAACCCACAGGTGACGTAGAGCTCGGGACGGTGAATGTAGAACCGCCTATGGCTTCCGAGGTTTATGACTGCATATGCTCTCTTAAGCGTCGCCGAGGTTCTGTCCGGATGACCTCTCTCGGCATTGTTCAAAGACGTGGGTGAAGCCCTCAGTCAGAGCTTGTCTGTCTGATCTGTTTGCTTGCATTTGGGAAGACGAGACTGTCCCGAACAGTTTGAAGAGATTCGGTGATAGTACCCATTTCTCAAAAAGGGGCTCGTAAACGTGGCAACCACAAGGGAATCAGCTTGCCCCCTGTCCTAACGAGACTGTTGGCGTCACTGGTGCTTCGTTGTAAAGCACCGAGTCGAGAGGAGCAAACGGGATTCCGGCCTGGTAGGAGTTGTGTGACCTAATCTTCACACATCGTCAGGCACTAGAGCAACGACTCAGTTTTAGTATTCCTGGGTTTCCAAAGCGCATTCGACTCGGTTGACGGGTTTGTTATTCTTCTCACACTTGTCCATCAATGAATGCTCCGGAAGTTCATGAACATGATAAGCTCTTTGTATTTTCGGACTCCCGAACATGTGAGTATACGGTGAGCTCTCGAAAAGCTTCCGTACACAAAGCGGTGTCCGTCGAGGATGCCCACCCTCTCCATTCCTTTTTGACTTCGTGGTCGATGAAATCATGAAACGAAAGAAGGTCTCCAAAACCCCGGTGTCCAAATAGTCTTGTCGATCTGGTGTACGCAGACAACATCGTTCTCATCTCTGAAGGGGAGGAAAAGGCGCAAGTGTTTTTGGATGAACTGACCAAGTCCTTTGGTATGCAATTTTCACCCACAAAGTGTAAGATCATACTCGTGGAAGTGCAGTCACTAAACACTCTACTTACAATCGAGGTAGAGGTACTGGAAGTGTTGGGGAGTTTTACATATGTTGGAAGTCGTGTTAGTTCTGATTGTAGTGTGACAGATGAGGTGAATGCGCGAATCTGCAAGGCTCGGGCCGCGTTTGCTAATTTGAGACACCTATGGCGTCAGAATGGTTTATCTCTGAATCTGAAGGGATGTGTGTATCAAGCTATAGTACGGGCTGTCTTGTTGCATGGCTGTGAGACTTGGCCTATTCGAGCAGCGGACCTGAGACGTCTTCAGGTGTTCGACACTCGTTGTCTCAGAAGCATGGCTCGTGTGGGTTGGTGTCGGCGAACCCGTGAGAAGGCAGTTAGAAAGCATGTTTTCGGTTGTGTAACGGGTACTTCCATTGAAAAATGTGTCCAGCACCAAAAGCTGCGTTGGTTGGGACATGTGTTACGTATGCCGAACCATCGTTTCCCGAAGAGAGTGCTGTTTTCCATGCCCAAATCAGAGTGGCGTAAACAGAGAGGTGGCGGGGGAGTATGAAGGAGATCACGAAACGCTTGAGTGCTGTCGGTACTACTCGCCTTCCAGGGTGGGGACCGCGTGATCCTCACTGTGCCTGGTTGGAGACACTACAAGATATGGCTGCCAACCGATGTCAGTGGCGTTCTTGTTATTAGTTTCTATCCAGATTGCCTGAGTGAGTGTTTGGAGGTATAGACACCTCGGAAGTATTGTGTTAAGCTAGCACTAAGTCCCTTTCCCGTCCACCTTTACTCTTTTCTTTACAATAAGGCTTTCAAATAAATCATGGTTGTACGGCAGTGAAGCATCGGTGTTGAACATTGATGTCATGCTGTCGATGCTGATGATGACCATAATCCCGCGATGTGTTTTTACTGGCTTACAATGGCTGTCGTAAGCTCTCGACTTTGTATATGAAAAAACTGCACCGAATCCCGTGACGTTTTCTAGTTCTTTTTGGTTTTCAGCTCAAACACACGTTCCACTTGGTATGTCATACCGAATCCAACTTGCAGAAGTTGATTTGGGCAACCTACTGTTTGAAGACAAAGCTCCTTTGGAGTTCGACTCTTCGGGAAGTGTGTACGTTTCTGGTTGTGTTGATGGACTACCCCTTTCTGCCACAGGTCAGATCAGCACTTGCGTGATATTGCCAAGGAATGTACTCGTCATTTCTTTAAACTTTTCTGGGCCGTAAGTTTGGGAAGCTATCCATTCGTGTTATTTTTCAGTTGCCAACTGAGGTTGTGGATAACGTCACCATAAGTAAAGTAAGTCTGGTCGGCTTTCCATTACCCTGTTTTTCGCTTCTTGATGCCAAAAGCATCTCATTTTTGTTCGCTAGCCTGTTTCTCATGTATGCCCAGTATAACCTTCGTCAACCCCACCACCGAGCCACAGCAAACAGAGTCCCTCATCCGAAGCACCACTATACCTGACTTCGGAAGTCATTGCACTTTGTTTAGTGAGCAAAATTGTCACTGTCTGTTTACTAAGCGTTGATTCACTACAAATTGGTTGCGATTCTGCTATTATGTTCACTCCACATGATTGAAACTTGGAAGCACAGCAATGAGCTCATTATCCGCATGAGTCGCACTGGAATTTGGGTGCAAGTGAAGGGAGGCAACGTAGTAAGTATGATGTCGAGGAAATCTACCCTTAGTCTGACTCTGAATCCCCGCTTTTTCCTAAGAGTTCTGTTTCCGGAAAATTCGGAACATGTTACTGTCGTCATATTCTAACTTCTAGCTGGTGTTCCTGCTAGATATCCACTTCAAGGATTTCAGTCTTGAGTGCGCTTTGAGCCCAGAATATTCTGTGTACGTACAGTTTGATTTTGGGTGACGAGTGTTGTGATTTTTTTACATTTAGAGTAATTGGCAGGTTGACACATCCATCGACAAGCGAAATCTCCATATAATGAAAGTGGTTGGCGACAGTATAATATATTTCTACGAGTCTTTGAGGAGTAACCACTAGACTCGGTGACCAACCATCCTTAGAAAGCTGCTTTCAGATGTATGTCTTTATGTCTAAGAGGGCTTCAGAGCAGCTTCTGACCCCAACACTAACATCCAACGAGCGACCTCTGAACGGCAACCCATTTGCCATTTATTTGGCGTCAACATTGTAGGTCTTATCTCACGTAGGGTTGATAACACCACGGCCTGGTACTTTTGTGATTATAATGCTCAACAGTCCAGTAAACAAAGCGACGCCCAAGATGACTACCCCAGACTTGTCAACCGTCTTACAAAGCTCCGGATTGTAAGATTATGAGGATAAGGAACTCCGTGGTACTGTATGAGCGAGGCACAATAACTTGGTTGAATGAATCTAAGGATACTAGGGATTGCAATGCCTGAAATTAACGAGTGTGTTAAAAGCAGGTTTCGGGAAGTAAGTTGGGTTATGATTCATTCAGGCAGTGAAGAGTATGTTAGATGCTGTGAGAAATGAGCAAGCAATCGGGCCTCAACAACTCCCTTTTGTGCTATAAGGTAGTTGGAAGAGGCCCCGTCACAGAAGTGACAACATTATTCTAGGGGGCGACTAATCCGTTTTTCATAACGGAAGCACTGATAGCAATCATTTTGATCTGTCGTAGGAGTTGAAACCTAGAAAGTGAAGAATGTAGAACGAAAAATACATCCCCGTTGTAGATCAGGGGCTGTTGGTCTGTCAGCCGAATATGACAATTAGCTCGAGCTTCCCGTCGTCAACGGGAGAAACATCGGCGCGCACCATTGATATTCCCTTGGTTTGGGACAGTAATAAAGGAAATATTTTCCACTTGAATTAAAGCATTTAATCAGAAGAATTAAAACCTAGGTGCGGTAAAATCGAACTAGGGTGAGTTTGTAACGGACAGTAAAAAAAATCGTTCAGCTGTAGCACCCTTTCGGTGCCTAGCTGCCATGCCACCAAAGGGGCACGAGGGCTGGGATACTGACTGGTCGCCCAGCCCTATACAAGGGAAGTCGAGAGGCAGAGGTCGGATTCGAACCACGGACCTTCCGGTCAGTAAATTCGCGCTTGAGCCATCTCGACTCCAACGGACAATAAAGAGTGAATGTAAGCACAAACCCCACCGTGAAAAATGAAAGTAATGAAACAGAATCACTCGGGGACTGAACGTCAGTTAAATCGTTCGTTTCAGGTATTTACGTCCAGATGAGAAACAAACAGAGTGATGGACTAAGTTGTCGTCCGTGTCTTGGCCTGAGGGCAAGCTTTTTGTCGTTTGGACCGGTACGATCCAACCCGGAAGCTTACACCGATGAACCACATGGGCATTGGTTCCTCGCGACGGCAGCAAAGGCCGCCTTCCGCCTGGTGCGTATATTGACAGCGCTGACAGTCAGGGAGAATGTAATGACCAGAGGTAGTTTTGCCGTCAAAGCACGTGGTCTAAATTCAACCACAGTTTTTTATTTCTCCGGCTTTGACAACCGGGCAGTATGTCAGCCGTCATAATTCCTTCAGGTTACGTGATAGCCGTGCACTGAGAAGTTTAACTATTGAACGACTGAACTTTTCAAAGGACATCTGCTACTTGTTGTGAGAGTTGGTCAGATTAACTTTAAGAATGTTCTCATTGTTGTCAACTGTTATATTGTGTTTTGTGAATGAATGCAGAATCTATGGTTAATAGCCAAAAAAGCTGAATTGTGCTGAGCAGCTGGTGCCCATCACCCACCAATCACCAGTTGCACGCCACTAGGTTCAATGAGCGTAGTGGCATTGCTTAATTGCTACTTTTCATTGGGATATTTTCCTTTCTCTCTCAAGTGACAAGTCCGAATAAGCGTAGCATGAAGGGAAAGATACACCGGCGATGGGTTGGACTCGAACTGCCTACCTATTGCTTATCGGACGAGTATTGTTGTGTGACCTCCGTCATGGATATGCGTCCGAGCTTCACAACTGACTCACCGTTCCTACTAACAGACTAACAATTGGTGTTTGTTAGTCATTAGGAGGCCACTTATATGGCTTCCACATAGGACCAGACGTTGAATTTGTTCCGATGCCGAAAGGTTTTATGGTGTATGTTGTCAGAAAACGGAAGGGGATTCGGTTGGTTTTCTGGATAGTATAGTCCAGATACCTGGAACTGGGTATCAGTGGTTCGAATCCGTCCTCAGACGTTCTTTTATGTCACGTGTGCATATTGTTCATGTCGATGTCATATAAATTCGCCTCTACCTTATAAATATTTCCTTTTCTTAGAAGTTAAAATTGGTACTCGAAATACTTTCCACGTTCAAGCGCGTCGGTTCGTATACCGACGGTTTTTGTTTTGGTTACTATGTGGCTGAATACTTCGAACATTTTTGCATCTTTCTTGAAAACTAGCAACCAACATATTAGCCTAGTTAGCTAGTTGTTACGGTATTGGAGCTGATCGTGTAAAACACCAGGTCAGATTAATCCCATCCCAATTAAGCCGCGTAGCGCTTTGTCTGCTCACAACCAAGTACTTACGTTAATGTTTTCTCCACTGTTTGTGGTTTGAATCCACTCCTGGTTGATTGCTTTTGTTTGGCCCCCGAGAGCCTGATAGTATCTCCGCATCCGTGCTTCCCCCGTTTACCGTGTCAGTCATATGACCAGTGTCACAACCGAGAAACATAGTCTGTATACTGGCAACCATCCGGAGTTAGTCTCTTCAAAGTGGTTTGATAATGTCCTTTACGTCTTTTTCGTATGTCTTTTCTGTACGGTGGTTAAGTACTCGTGATCTCACTCTAATGTTTTCGTCACTGGCGTTAGTTATTATAAAACCCTATTCTAAATGTTCCAGCTCCCAAAACCAACATTCCGTCTGCCGCGTGAGAAAAGAGTACGTGATTCCTTCTTAATGTACCGACGATACCCACTTATCAGATCCCAGCTGTACGCGACTTAACCAGATGGGAACGTTTTGCAAAACTAAAAGGGATCAAAAACAAGAAAAAGTCACGTAAAGTTTGGGATCCGACCACACAGTCTTGGCGGCCTCGATGGGGCAAGGATCGTATTAATGCTCCCAAGGACAAGTGGTTTATCGAGGTTCCAGATAATGCGGGCAAGTGCTTTCTATAGACTGTTTGTAAATTTGCTGTGAACTAGATCCTTATGAAGACCAGTTCGCCAAACTGACCAAGGAGAAGAATGAACGCAGAGCGAAAAATGAACTGCAGCGGTTGCGAAACATTGCACGCGTAGTCAAACCGGGCCAAGGTATGTTTTCTCCGTGATGCTTGGACTTCCTAGTCAAAACTTTGCTGAAACAAACGTTTTGCGCCTATACAAACTTTCTTCCTCCAGTACAGCCCTACGCCGTTCGTGTTTGCATAGGATTTCTTGTTCCCTGTCGTTGACTAGCGTTCCTTAGGACCCGATGGCACCAACATCGAAAAAAGCACTCACACAAGAGTAATACGGCGTCTGTGAATCGGCCTATACAGACGACCTGTGCAAACTATGGTCGAGATTCTCGCCTCTTAGGGTGTTTTTGAGAACAGCTTATTATGGTTGGGTGTACATGAGGAATGATTGTTGTGGTCCAGACTTTCCTGAAGTGCAAAAACATTTCATTACCGATCGCAATTGTCAATTACGAAAAAATCGCCTAGCTCGTTGGACAGCCAACAATTATCTATGCTATCCGACATACTACAGAAGCAAATAGTCTAAGTATGTGTTACGAGAGACTGACTACATTCAACCACACGTCGTAACAAGTCACCGAAAGTGGGCAGTACAAGATGTTGGGTTCAATGTATAGTAAGAATGCAGGTTCGGCTAACCGTACGAAACAAACGCTATGATGAAGCGTTCTTCCCTACTATTGGTATGTGCCATCATTGTAACTGGTCATTGCTGATAATAGTAGAGTCTTGGATGTCACCTGTGTACATGCAGGAAAGTCAGTCTTACCTGATGAGTTGGGTTTTACTCTGATATATCGTGACAGAAGAATTCCCGCGAAACCGTTGAACGATAATGTCACCCACACAACCATCCAAGATTTACCGGTCAACTACACAAGTGAGGAATAATTTAAAGTGAGCAAACTAATTGAACAAATGATCCTAACGAAAAAGATCGAATTCAAGCACTGCAATCGTAATCGCACCTTGCACGCTCATATGACCAATTCAAACCAATGATTTCTTCAAAGCGTCGTTGCTGGTCCCCACCACACCAAGTTTGTGAAGCGGTTTAAATGACACAATGCATCTGATTTTGTTTTTGTTGGATTTTCTGCCAAATCCCGTCCTTCGGACGTACGGTGAACCAGTCTGGAAGATTGAATTCATAAGTTCATTCCAATCTGAACCGATTTAAAGGATGCGTTTAAGAATAACGATCTTCAAAGCCCTACTGCCAACCTGTGCATGCCCATCATCCTAAACTCCGAGGGACAGTGCCATTCATCCGTCTTTTTTCTTGTGAATCTATGATTTTGCTGTGGAGAGTCCGCGTTTGAGCTGCAACTTTTCTGGTTCCACACACTGCATAGTGTCCTTATTGCATCTTTCACTCTCAGATCTTGTGGTCCCGTTTGCCTCCGATTTCTTAGCCATTTTCTGGTTCAAACGCTTCAGGAGTGAATTTTAGGCAACTCTTACTCATTTTTGTCAAGTCCATAGCCTTCTACCTTGAAGTTTTATACTCCAAATGTTCAACTCTGTTGGATTGAACTCAACTGTCCTTGACTTAACGAATAATTGACCTAATTCATTCAGTCGGTGAACCGCGACACTGCTTCTTTTCCCAGTTCATCGAGAGTCAACCGCTAACAGATTCTTCAGTCTGACTGCACCACAGAATTTTGCGTTTAGACAATGGTGGTTCCTGTCTCCTTCTCATATACAGCCTGCCGCGGATGATTCATTCCCAGTCACCAGTTCCCTTACCCAGCTTCATTTTATCACGTAGGCTTCTTCGCCTCTTTTGATTTTACGCCATTTACTATTGTCCTGAAAAATCTCATTTCTTCATCGTACATTTTGTAGATACTCTTCCACTAAGTGGTTTGATGTGCGCTAGTTTATTAACCGCTATCTCCGGACCTGTTCTGTTTTGAAAGATTCTGAGCTTATCCGAAAATTAAACCTGTAAGTCACCATGAACTGATCGTTCTCTCTTTTCAACTAAACGAACAATTCACTGGGTGCTTCTCAAGTTCCCCACGATAATAGTGAAAAATTAACTAATAACACTTAACCCCTCTAGTAGTCGAATTTCCCGATAATTTTCAACGCGAGAACGAGGCCCAGAAATTACTGAAATCATGCTACACTGAAAACTTTGGGTGATTGTGCTCTGCTAATTGTATTCTTGTCCCTACTCAATGTGGGTATTGTGTTGCTGGCAAACGAACAACAATAGTGCGATAGAAGGAACCATTAGTAGGTCTACTACTTTGCAATAATTTCGGCCGGATATCACATTATTTCATGACTTGGCTATTATTGTATCCCTATGATATTGTTGCTCATCACCCTCTCACTTTTTTTTTATCTCCTCTGTTTCGTAGCTCCTCCTGTAGGTGTTTTATCAGAATCGCAAGGGTCGAGAAACGAACTGAGCAGGGCGCTCTCAATAGCCAAAGTGTCTGATGCCTCTATGGGACGGTTTAATGCCCCACTGGACGAACGGAAGATATCCAAGAAAACCGAGTAAGTCTCTGTATTCTGTCCTCGTGTTATCTCCCATTTTTCTAGGAAAAAGATGAAGCCACGTCTCAAATTGAGTCAGGTTGTCGGCTCTAAATCCACAAAGAAGTCAGCAAAAACACGGAAGCCACCAGCTAAGAAAAAACCTATGAAAAAGAAAGGATCCCGCACTGGTAACAAGAAGTGATGAAAATCCCTCACAATCTTCGTTTTGCAAAGAGTAACCTTTGTACAGCTGGCAACCTCTTTCATACAACCCTTCCGAATGATGAAAAATACTTTTGCCTTAGAAGAATGGTTCACATTTGTCTCTTCGTCAGACGTTCACCGCATTTCTTTTGTTCGTAGGCGCTGGTGTTGTGAACACTGTTGTTCGTACACGGTTGTAGTTAGATGGCGATTCACAATGATATTTTCAGAAGTACTGATTCTTTGTTAACTAACACAGTAGCATGATTAATTGATGTTCTTCAGTCGAGTTGAATGTAGCCGTATACACGATGGGTTGACTCAAATCGAACTCGAATCGACCAATCCTCCTACTTGCCAGCATATATCGCCACGTTTTTAGATTATGGCCAACACTGTGCTGACAGATAAATGGCCCCCCGTGTACCACACAGACGCACTTCTAAAGAACGATGCAGCCTTAATCTCGTCTGGTGATGATGCAAAATACATATATGTGATTTCTGCTGGGTTAGGAGGACCGCTGAAGCCTAAGCTGTTGCTGTCCTTGTAGCGTCATTATCGACTCGAAATTTCTGGACGCAAATACAGTCGGTATCACCGCACTTTTGTGTTCATGAGCCCACAGGTTACAGAAACGCAATACTAGATGAACAAACTTCTGTAAAATCCATATTTATGAACAAACCGTCGGAGCAATTAGAAAACTGTTTCGTTAAGGCTTCTTTCGGTTTTATTAACCTTTCATAAGATTCTGGGCAGCCACCAGTTCCGGACAGTTTCTCCGGGAGAGACAAACGAGTTTAAAGAACAAGTGATGTATGCACTTTGTGGTGACAGGAGCACATGACTACCCGTCAAAACGTGGTGTGTGAGACGTGTTGACTACAGTTAATTGCCTTTATTCTCCTACCCTTGTCACTGATGTCGTCTGACCTGAATGCCTTATGAAGTTGTGTGCCAAAATATGAGACCGTGTTGTGTGTTTGCATGGTTTTTCAACGTTGCGTATACGCTCGTGGCTTCGGATTTTCAAGGATAAAGTGATGAGTGGCTGCCGTCTTCTTTGATCCGAGTATTCTCGTCCTTGGCTTGATAGAGAAATGGTACTTTTTGGGTTTGTGATACAAGAGCGCCACAGCACGAGGTTCATGTTTGATTGACCATGCAGTAGGCTATACACACCTAACTGCCCAGGTACTGATGCCCCATGTCATAGATATTTATCATCACAAGTGGCTGGCTTCTTCATCAGGCTTCATTTGGATCGTTCTTACCCGGACCAGACCATCTAGTGTCTGAACAAACGACGTTTTGTGATTGCGGTGCTAATCTCGGGTAGTCTCACTCACTACATGTCGCTAATTTATGCCCTGCCTTGGTTTTGTAGCACCACCGATGATACTCACAGCTTGTTTATGATCAGTGTGACGGTGTGTTAACATTGAAATCACCGTGTTGTTACATGGTGCATGCAGACCTATCGCTCACAGGGAGCACCGTGATCAAGATTTCGGGATGGAGGCAGCCTAATTCCGAGAATTCAATATTCCGACATGAGAATTTCTTTATTCCTCCAAGCAAATATCAGTGGAATCTTGTTAAACATAGGCTAAATTTCATAGTGTAACGCAGATGTGTTTTATTTTATACAACACCGGTCGGGTGATGCCCCTTTTGAGTATATCACCTTAATGATGAGTCCCACGAGTGGAATTCGAGTCGCTCAATTTATTTGCTGTACCTTAAAGAGACACGAAGACCGAGAAAACGGCGATATGATACGTTGATGCACCCAGAAATATCAGTGTTTGTTGTAAGGATATCAACCTCAGTCGTTCCGTGAACTTTAGTGATGTGGTGAGGATAATGCTCTTTAGGGGAAACGGTGGAGAGAATTAACACATTGCATATAATAAAAATGTCCATCTATGCGGTTTTCTATTCCGTTTGAACGTACAAACATTCACCTGTTAAGTTTCTTAAACACTCAGCCGGGCGTACCACAAACGGGAATGATCACGTGAATGCAGACGATGGATTCGCACAATACCTGACCAGCAAATATTTCGATACCTCTGAGGATGTCACATCCGTTATCATTTTACCGTCACTTGCACCCTCCTCAGCAGAGCCACGTTTGTTATCAAGCTAACGCCGAAGTCCATGTGAATGACATTACACTTACAGAGATAGTTCAGTGGTTAGAGCACAGATTTACTGACCCGAAGGTCCGTGGTTCGAACCCGACCTTTTCCTCTCGACTTCCTCTCTTTAGGCTTGGGTAACCTGGCAGTATTCCAGCCCTCGTGCTTCCTTCTGGTGGTATGGCACCGAAAGGGTGCTACAGCTGAACGACACGATATATATACACTTACAGGTGCTTCGATGGAATTCTCGGATCTTTTCACTGGCGAACAATTCTAAAAATTAAACCGGATGTCATTTTGTAGATTGAGCGGAAGCAGAAAAAGTATGGACAAAAGATTAAAGTGATATTTTGGGGTTTCTGAGCCAGGTATCTTGACTCAAGTTTATTTGACCTTTCAACGAAGTAAGCCCATATAATTTGAGGTAGCACTTCATTTCAATAGCTAATCAAGAGACTTTCAATTCAATTCAGTGACATTTGACCAGAATGAGGTTTGTTGTAATCCTGTGGAAAATGCTGACGGAAGGCGCAATCCATAGCATATGTACGATTCCTACACTTTTTTGCTGGCAACCACCGAACACCGTAATTCCCGGTGAATTTAGAGTAGGTTCAACAAAACACGATGTCTTCACTTTAATGGTAGACGACGGGCATCGCAATCTAGCTTTCCTGTATCTCCACAATGAACTTGACGACGAGAATAGAACACTGTGAGTGTATAACTTGCCGACACCTAATAACAAGTCTATTAGTGTTGTGAATGTGACACCCAGCACAGCACAACTTCAAAGCGTCAAGCTATTTCTCCGCCACTACTTGTCGCAATCTAGTTTTGAAGTGTGAATATTGGTAACAAGAGTCAGTTAAGGTGGAGTCCAGTTCCTCACGTCCGGTTAGCACGACAGTATCAGGTCATAAGACTGATCGTAAATATTTTCAAACATTGGCCTAAACCGATGATGAGAACGACACAGACAACATACCTTCGAGCCTAATAGTAGCACTTCCTGCAGCAAAGAAGGAAGATATTTATAACTACAGCTCTGCATCTGTTGAACGGTCTGTGTGGACTTGGAAGGATTCAAATGAATGGGCAGATTCGCCATTCTTGCGTCCAGTTAGTCGTCGCAGAAATCAATTTTACGCAGTGATGGTGACTGCAACCTGTGGATGTTTGGGGTGCTGACAGTTTGTTCCCAGGCGAAACACTGCACTGAATGCTTCAGGTGTCAACGTGGAAACTGGTTGTAAACTGAAAATCTCGGGTAGATGTTCCCAGAACTACTCGTCTGTACAATCAACCGCAACTAACTCGATTAGATGCATTGCTTACGGCCATTCAGCACATCATTTGATCGGCCGTGTAAAAAAATTTGCTCCGAATATACTAGAAAGCCCGAATCACCAGTCACCTGCTGAACAACNTCCGGAAAAGAATCAAAAGTGTTACAAGATGACTTAGGGTGCCTGCCAAAATAAAAACTCTTCTCGTTAAAGTGGACTTTGCTACATAATCGGTGGATTTATTTGTGTACCAAATCTCCCTGAAATAATGAGTTCTCCGAGTATCTCAGTTGGATAAGATCTGTTGCTCTCCCATCTAACATGAGTTCAATGCTTCATTCACAATGACCAGTCCCTTATGTGATTAGACCCTCTGCGATTGAGGAATTGCAAGACTACATTAGGTTGGCGTACTGCAGCCCAGCAGCCCAAATCAAATGCATCAGAGTTCGCATTAGTTTGGTTCCGGATCACATTTTAACCCGATACTTTTGAAGATATTTTGACCGTTAGTGCATTTCTGTTTGATGACAGCTAGTCATCAAAGGAGAATTTATGGTCGAGCCACAATCCTTCTTGGTTGTTTCGTCCAACTGCCAGGACGTATTTTATGAAGCTATGACAGCACTTGACTGAACTCCCCATACATTTTACGACAGATCATTCGTCCCGCGTGATGAGATAATAATGAAGCTTCGGCAAAACAATTTGCGCTACCATTAACGCTAATAGTTTAAGAGCATGTTCATGAACATAAAAAGTTAATCCGAGCGATAGATATGGAAGAATGTATGGGAGAATTTGAGATAAAACGGGGACAGCGGTCCATTCGAAGGCTTGCCATCAAATATTCCAGTCAGACAAGATGACCCCCATCTCACAGTGAAAAAATGACAAACAATGTTGAATGCTGTTCAAGACGCTGGAACAGTCAAGACTCGCACATCAGACGGTGTCCGTCATACTGAGTCAGGTGTGAGAGTCACTGGCAAGAATAGGTACTCACCACCATGTGCCGTGAGTACGTAGAAGGGCCAACATGGCGAGCAAACACAAGTCAGTGCCCTAGTCCAATAACAGCCTTGGTGAGTTGAGCAGAGCAGATCTCTCAGTATGAAGGGACCATCGGTTGATGGACCGAAAATTCGACATCACAATCGATTGAACGTAGCGCTGAGGTGATGGCGAAGGAGCAATCATCATCGCCATACTTCTGCTTTTTCTCATTCCACACAGTCACTCCGCGCGCATCCGAGACTATGCTAACATCTATCACGGTTGCTCGGCGCTTCCGAACAGCGATTAGGTCAGGCTTGATGAAAGACATAGATGTAGGTGCTGTCAATTCCACGAAGAAGATGTGTCCCAGGCGACGGAGACGTTTCGCGAGTACCCTACAAGCCGATTATGACGAGCACATCTAGAACCACACGTGAGGAATATGCATCAAACTCTCTGGCCGACCACAATTTTTACGACAGAAGATCGTCTGGCCACCATGACCAAGCTGGACGCTTTTAACTCTCGTTCTAAGCAGGTTGCACTGGAGCTGGGTGCCGCGTAACTTTCCGAGGAAACACACTCTGGAAACACAATCCATCGATTCCAAAGAGGCGAGGCGATCAACTCTTGTAAACTTTAACTGCTAACGCCGTTGTACAAACTATCGCTTTAAGCAGCCACCAGCTCCTTGGTTTTTACCCATGCACCGTGGACTCCGATCGGAAGGCTGAGGTCCCGAACAACCTTGCCAAATGTGGAATCGTGGACAACATTGCGGAGTACTCAGCACTGGGTGGATAGAAACTTTTCCATACGCACTCTCCACCGCGCTGGGAGGGTTGAACTCAGACTTGGTATACCAGCTCCCCCATGTTGTTTTGCAGGATGGATAAACCTTTCAAAATATAAAAAACCGAAATGCGGTTAAAAGCAGCCACTTGAGAGTAACGAGGGAGGGCGTGTAGCAGCGATGTAACTCCTAAACAATCGTCTCGACGTAGAAGTGCAAACCGGATTGAGGGCAGTCGCAACCTACGGCCCCAGAAATTAGCGACCACCTAATGAAAGCATCGAAAAGAATGAATGACACGGAGATCAGTCCCATGTGGTTTGGTGAAGGTGGGTCTGTGACCTTCGGGACTACAGTAATACGAGCACGACATAAATGCGGCGGACAGTCCTCAGATAAAGGGAGCAAGTTGAAGTACCCAGCGAGACCGTTGGCAGTGAACGGGTGGAGTATCCTGGACATGAGGTTGTTCACATCTGGGGGTGAATTACCCACTAAACGGATCGTACTGGCGGCTTGCTCACATGTATTTGGCTCGATCGAACCCAAATCGTATGGTTACACTGCTCGAACTGGCCGGCTCTCCACATGTTTTGGAGCCGGGAACACCTGTTTCCAGTACTGCTTGGCGTCCAGAGTTGGGCCGCACTCACATTTGTATAGTTTTTCTCATAAGCCATCGAGCATAGCAGACGCTACATATTTCCGTCTCTGATGATAAAGGGTCAAGATAGCGACGTACTCGGCTTGGCAGATCCACCATCCGTTGACCGACACACAATGGGCTTTCTGACAACGGCGTCGCAAGATAGGTTTCCACGTGTGTGGAAATGTCTTACATGCGTAGAGATCCACAGGTGACAGGACTTGCTTCGATAGCTACTTCAATGAACTATCAAGATGACTGGATAAAGACCCTGTAGTCGCTTCAGAGATTGACTCAACTTCACGTTATGGTGTCTGAAGCACTTTTGCGCCAGTAAGACACCGGGCGAGTTATGCTCCTATCAGAACAAGTGAACTGTGTATTGGACCATCTTTAGACTCCCACTGGGATACTTCAAGATTCATGCCTGGTTACAAGGAAAATTTTACATTTTTGGCATAAAACGCCATAGAGTGATAGCACTGGTCATGCACTGCAAACAGATATTTCTAACGTTGTGAATTCTCAGCCAACCGCTGACCCAGCTAGCTGATCGTCGTAATAAATGACGGGTTGGATCGCTATCTTGCCGAAATCATCAGGGATACTGAAACCAATATTTGCTTCAAATAGCAAACGCTCAAATTAACGTGTGGGCCGCCGAAACAAATAGCCCGAGTTCAAGTCTCCCGACAACAGGAGCTCCTTTCTTTTGTAAAACAGTGTATGAAGAATGTCTTCCTATAACTGAACTACCTGTTCCTCGCTGAATAATGTGAAAGACTGAGGACATGTGTTGTAAGTGCTTCACGAGACAATTTAATCAATACCAGAGATTCAGAACCGTCGTTCAAGAACATTGATAAATTTTTATGATGCCTATTAGGACCAGTTAAACTGGCCAACTAGGCTGCAAGAGCAGAAATATCGGTCAGGTAATTACGCGGTCACGAGTTATGGTGACCTTGACCAGACCAATTAACAACATTGGTAGGTATTTTTAAAGGCTTTAGGCCAGGTAAACACTTTCTGATTTGTCACTATGTTTCGTCCGACGAACAGCCTGTCTGGTAGTACCCTGCTAATAGGTGCTTTTGGCTTCCCAGTTTAGAATATGCTGTCAGGAGCAGCGACCAGCATGCATCGTTCTGGAAGAATAAACAAGCAAAAATGCACAACAGACCCTTCTATATGCTTGATTGGGCATAATCGCAATGTTGTTCAGTCGGTTCAGTTTCTCAGTCGCAAACGGTGCACTGGCCCCAGCCGCTACATGGTTCATTCACTGAGGATAATCATAGTACCGTGTTAGTCACGTGTTAGAAGCAATAACCTTACCAATTGATTGACGTTAAACGATTCTGTTTTTCCGGTGTGTTAGGGATCCAAGCAGATATGCAGCGAAGGCGGTAGCCTGGATGCAAGACCACCCTTGGTTGTGTGACACAGCCATAAGCGTCAGGGCCACCAGCCGTCGGTTCGTTCCGTCCCGGGGCCCCCACCTGTGGAGACGGCAGCTACTAAAGTGACTGAGTTGACTAGTAGGAGCTTTCATGCTTCGTTGTGAAGTCATAGGATTAGTGTTCCTCGGTCGTCCCGATCCGATACAAGGCTGGGTGCAGATGGATCTGGGACCCAAACGGTAATCTGGCATCTGGGCACGGCAGCTTAAGTTATGGAATGCAACCAGCTGATCTACCGAGGAGAGTGAACTTTCCCTAGAGACACCGGGCGTACCTCAGCATTTCTGATCTGATGTTACATCAGACTTGCGCAATGCTTCGCAAGCACCGCTGATCGGACATGTAGTCTACGAAGACCTGCGCGCGTCTCTGTCTCAAAGTGGTACAGATCGAACCGCAGCAAAACACTCCAATCCTGACAACTGAGGTCACATCGGTGCCACAAGCGTTGCCCAAGTCCTCCCGATTCGTGAGTTGAGTTTATCGTGCGCCGGTCCTCCATGACATACGCAGCTATCCAGGTGGGTCAACTTAGTTTCAACGTCGATCGGTTAATCTATCATGGCGAACATCATTTTGGAAGCTATGGAGAAAATATTGATACCCCGGTTGTTTTCGCACGATGTTCTTGCTTCATTTTTAAAAGTAGATGTCATCGTCGACGGGGCTCTACTCCGTCGATATTTTTTCCCCGCTCCAGGCACTTTCAAGTAAAGTCAAGAAGGTAAACCCGAGGGAGTCTCCACCTTTGAAGAGTTCAGGATGAAAGCCATCTGAACCGGAGACTTTGTTTCGCTGAAGCAATAAAATAGAACACTGAACTTCCGTTGCCCATGGCACCCCGGTGTCGACATTGTCTCCAGCGGTTAAGCTGAAGTGCGCCCCAAAGTCGTTGGCTGATCGTCCAAGACGATGTTTTTGTGAATGAAGTGAGGTCTCAGCTGTTTCGAAGGTTGTTTCACTAACACTCACCTACTCAGGGTAATTTGATCGGACTAGCTAAGAGCAGACTTCTTGTTCAATGTTCAGCTTATCATCACTTTGCTGTCGTCCCGACTCAAATAATCATCTACCACTGAATGATTGTTACATCCAAAAGTTAGCAACCGTAATATCAACTGGTCAAGAAATCGCACAACAATTTGAACATTCCGAAGTTTTGGAATTTCCCAAATAGTTTGTCTCACACTGTGCTTACCGGCTTCTATCAATCTGTAAAAAAAAATTACATTCCCATATTTGTGCCCGTGTTCGTGGTGTTGCATTTCAATTTAACCACAATGGGATAATTAGCCACGAGCTTGTATTCGGAGTTCGGACTGTCCGGTGAAACTCTGCTTTCTAATTTCACTCCTTATGACTGTGTTTAGTGACTCATCTACAGATCTGTTTTCTTCTAACCTATGGTTATCCAGCTCAGCAGCACAGTAGGCCAATTGCTCATCGGTTCAGTCTAATGCCCTGAACAATAATGTTTCCAACGCCATGATTGTGCAACTAATTCTAGCATACTGCAGTCCAAATTGGTTCTAACCGTTGTGTTTACACACACCCCTATACTCAGGGGTTTTGATAGCTAGTGTCAGTGAAATTAGTGAGTGAATATCCCAATTCTTGGACCACCCGATCGCTGTATGTCATTCCCGTGCTTACTTCAGGCTGTGGCACTATTCACGATAACCGATTTTTATTGGTTTGCTACTTGGGATTCTCTAGTTTTTAGGCCCACGTAATTGCCTGACTACTTATCATTTTTTCCCTAAGTAACTGCTCACAGACCCGGTCCACTCAGAGCAGAAAAGCAGAAAAAAAATAAGTATATTGCAAAGCCGGACGCTGCTTTGCTCCGTGACATCCAATCGTATTGGAACAAAGAACTTGTCTTCTGTGCCGCAGCACAGATGGGTTGAGGTGTCTATATACATGACTGGTAAGTGCTCACCAGTGCAGCTAATTATAAAGATGATGGTAAACATGGCGGCTCACTCACTTGAAGCTTATTGACGCCATGCCCGCAAGTAGGAATTATCACAATAGAACCAATCAGCCATTGCGGAAATCTTCTTCCGGTACGCCGGACAATCCCTTCGGGCGTTTGTGATGTCACGTAGTATTTCGCGAGTAGAGCGACATATTCCGGAGAACTCTTTTGAAAGTTTTATTGCAGCAAACGCTTCATCCATTTCTCGTTTGTTCCAAACCAATTCGGCTAGCCCAAGTAAATGGGGTACAGTTTGCGAAATGTGTCCGATTTTGTCAGGTTCTTGGACCGTTTTTTCCGATTCGGAAAGCCTGAAGGTAAGGAAGATGCAGAAATGAGCAGCGGACCGTGGGATTTTTTTCCTCATCATAGGTATTCACCTCTAGTTAGGTGTCTCGAAGTGACAAATCAATAGCTGCCCTTCATGAGAAAGGAACAGTAAGAAACGAATATGACAGCCGAAAAGTGACTGGCTGTAAGACGTGAATACGGCCCTCTTCGAATAGACTGTGGTTGGTATTGTGTGCACTATTTTTACCCACACTGTCACAATTTGCCCTCATCACATCTATGGCTTCTGAATGATCGGTTTCCCCATCGAACTGGTCACGAAGTTTGTAGTTCACAATCACTGACACCAACACCGTCGAAAACATTAGGGCGTCACTGTCATACAACCATGTCACTTTATATCAATAGAGCTTTGTTATGGTAGGATGGGAAACGAGGCCCGGGGGAAGGTCTAGTGCTGTTATTAAGCACATTAAATGTAAACTTGACAGGATTCTCTGAACTCACAACATCTATTGAATTTCATATCAGTTCTACCGCCAGATGAGGGGAAATTGAGTCTCGAGATGGTCATTAGAATTCTGTCATTCAATACGTTACAGAACCTAGAGTTCTATACTTCACCATAACTATTTATTTAATTTATCCCTTCTGCTGTCTAACTCGTAGTCTTGTAAGCTAGTGCACGGCTCCTGAATGTCAAAAGGCCCGACCCCCCACTTTGTTATCCAATAGCCCCAATGCTTAGATGGTGTTCGATGCACATAGCGACTGTCTTGCTTTGTTCAGTTGATTGGCGCTTAGTTGTATGTGGTTGTGTGATTTGTAGGATTCATTTTGTACATCCCTAGCACAGTTGTTCCGGTTAGTTCACATCAAACGGGAAGCATTAGTTCCGAGCTTCGCTCCTACGAGAGCTCATCAGCGGTGCATAGCCTTGGTGATGCAGGAGTTTGAACTCGGGACGTCTGATTCCACCAACGTACCATGGAAATACCTGGACACAGGAAGTTGTTCACATGAGTGAGGTGCTTGGTCTACCCGATGGTTCTAACACCACCCAGAAACTGCACCGGTTAGACCGATCGATGGATGCACATTTCAGGACCTCTCTGTCAGGTAGCGCCACGAACATTTGAAACCCGCTGGACAATTTTTGATCAACTGTGGGTGGTTGCGGAGGGCAGCGTGATGGCTTGTTCGTGGGACACCCAAAATACATATGCCTAGCTAGCTACCGCTGGTTAGTAAGCAGTTTGTCGCTACTTAAAACTCCGGAGTATCCCAAGGTAAAAAACAAGGTGACACCAACAACCCATACCATAGGCATTCAATGACGGACACATGACAATGTCTCAGATTTGAGCAGTGATACATATCCATATGTTGTCCGGATTGTAATTTCCCTTTAGAGAGTCAACATGTTTTTCCTAGGAAAAATCTTTCGGAAAGCATTCTCAATCTGCTTTTAGTGCACGCTTGTGTTCCCTATGGATAGTAGCGATTACTCGCTAGACGTGGAAATCGACCTCTGACGCCAGTTGGGAAAAAGAGTTCAAGAAACAGAATCATAAAAAGCCCCATGTTCCGCTTTTCTCAATGAAAAACACTGCAAACAGGATTTTCAAGCTACTGAAGTAAAAAGCCATAAAACTGACCAGTTTGCACGCACTAAATGCGCCACAAACGTTGGAGCAATGCCAGAGACAACAACATACCGATACCACTGCTGCACAAACACATCAGTTTCTTTGAAAAAAGCCCTCTGATAAAAATAAGAAAAATGGAACAGAGGGAACTAGGACTGACCTACCACAAACAGATGAGGTACCTAAATTTCCAAAACTCAGTGAAACAACTAGCTAGAATTTGATAGCAGAGTTTAATAACCACGGACACTGGTTAGCCGCCATAAGACTGCAGAAATTTAGAGCTTTCTTGGTGCCGTCCTCCGGGATGAGCCCCAGGTAATTGTCTCCGTGCTTGGCTGGAATACCGGCGGAATCAGGTGGTTTGTTCACCTCTCCCAAAGTGTGCAGATGGTAAATTCGTAAAGTATCTTCAGGTGAGTGGTATACCCTCGTGAGGAAGGACAATCCCACAACTCCCTACGAAATAAGCAAGTCTGTTTGGAAATTTCAAATAATTATTCAGTGTTCCGGTCAATGTTAGGGATATTAGGGAATCCCTCTATGAGAGATGTCCTAGAGGGAGGGAACAAACTGTTCCATACCAACGTTATATTTGTTCGACACAAGTATCCAAAATATTAATGTGGTTTGCGTTACCTAAGATTCGTTTGCTGAAATAGGATCGGTTGCCCTCAAAAACGGATGGTAGCAGGCAATTTGACACAAAATCTGTGTCAAAATAAAACTCCCGCGACTTTTGGATGCCAGCTGGCGTATGAAAGATTTGGTCCCACCCGCCATTCCGGCGTTGGGATCATCACGTTGACTCCATGCTTATTTCTCTGCTTAATTCCTCTCCCATAGATGGTATTTGAGAACTGCACTTGCATTTTGGCCGGATTTATGGTGCATTAGTCAAGGTGATCACTGTGCCGTGCCATTCAAAGGACTAAGGGGGACTGTGTATTCATCGTATTAAAAAGACCCTATTATGGATAAGTTGTAAAGTGTTGCCAGCTCACTTACTCCATCCTGTAGGACGTCATTGTTGACTCAGCACTGTGAACCTCCTTCTGTGTGTCTGTTGTGTCTGATTTCAAGGATGATCCTTTCGATGCTTCAGACATTTGGAGAATATTCTTCTGGGGGTCCGTTTCCGTCGGCGCTAACTTCTCTTCAGTCTCAAGAGATTTCACAACAGATAGTCTGGACATCATGAAGCCGGAATCCTTTCTGCGTTCTTCTTCTTCTTCAAGATGCTTTTTTTCCAAACGACTGAGTTGCTCGAATGCAGGGCGAATCCTGAATCCTGACAGCCGATTCCAAAAGTGTTGATCACATAATTCCAACATCACCTCAAGCATTGCGTCTTCCAACTTTCGACCTTCCCCTAGCGCAGTACCACGTAAGTAGGGTTTTTCCACAAAACTAATTAACAAACGCCCGTATATTGATGTCAGTGTGTGCCTGCCTGTCAATCTGTCCGGAGCGTACTCCCGAGCATGTAGGAGGTGAATCATTAGAAAAACCAGTGTGTCCGTATGGCAGGTGGAGGACTGAAGCACTGCTTTCATGACCAACTTACGTATTTGGATATTTGGGCGCAGGAAAAAGTCAAACACCGGTGATTGACTCAGTTCAGGCATTAGACTACGATTGAAGTGCAATGGCTTTGCCGCCAATTCGTTCAGAAACAATCGAACCACGACAATCTGTACCGGGTGTTCCATGTCACCAACCAACTTTGTAATGGCTTTATTGTTGTTAAAGACCTTTAACAACTGCAAAAATGCTATTTTTGCACGGTCGTAGTATTCGAACAGCTCTTCGAAAATACAGTTCCATGATGAATTATAGCAATATGCTTCAATAGAGTTAATCAGAATCCGTAACAAATTTGGCACAAAAGGGCTAAGGAAAGGTTGATAGTTTATTAACTTCAAAGGTGCCAGAAATATTCGCTGATACTTGCGAGTACGCACCGATTTTACTGAAGGAAGGTAAATGGATCTTGTTTTGCAGGATTGTCTCCGTATCCGTTTCCGCTCATACGCGTCTGGGTCCACGTACTGGTGAACTTCGCATGGTCCGGCAGCCGTCAAACTGACTGCAAACTTCGGGTGTGGTATCTTTTTAATTGACTTTAAAACCCGCTGTGATGGATCATCCGCTGAAGGCATTTCGGGAAGTGCATCTTTAAGCATTTCCGTGATTTTTACCGATGTCGGGACACGTTTAACCAATCGGCTGAATTTAGGCTCTTCTGGTAAGCTGCTAGGCAAGTAAAATGCTTTTGGAGCAGCTGCATTAATTTCCTTCAAGTCTTTTGACTGTGACTGGTCAATATCCGAAAACCTGACTGTCAGAGATTTTCGCTTTTTGTTCATTCTAGCCAGTATCTTTGCATACAAAACTGGTCCAATCGACTATCTGCTTCAAACTTGTGCACATCCAGCCTCGGGATCATCTGATCTCGGAGGTCACGTGATTTATGTCCCGAGGATGGTTGACTATTTCTACCGGACAACCATGATGGTCAGACCAGGTTCGATTGAAATATCTTCACTATAAGTGATGATGGTGTCCTAGGACGATAAAGTGTGGTTTTTGTAATGGATAGATCTTGCTACGGGTAACGTTTTTAAATGCATTTTGAATAGCTAGAGGAGGAATTATGGTCGTTGCAACCGTTTTATATTTCTGGATTTAACGCTCATTGATGGTGCACTACGGCGTATCTAGTAGGCGTCGTGAATGTCACCTAAAAATGCCAGCACCTTAAAAGCAAAGTAGTCTCGGAATGAACAGGTGTTCCTACTGCCGAATCGGTTAGTATAGAGCACTAGTGGGTAGTCGCTATTCTCCTGCTGCAAACGATCAGGGACTCGTTGACTGATTACCACTAACTTTCTGTTGAGCAAGTTGACTTCTCTGATGCCAGTTTCCATTGACAGCTTACATGCAAGAATTTCAAAGTTCAAATTTTGGCAATAGATCAGTGTAACAGACTCTGAGCCACAAACTAGTAGCTTTAAAACAATTAAATATTGTTATTTCAGGATTTGTCAACATGTGTGTTGTGTCAGTGGAGATTTAACTGTTGGAAGGAATGTAAGCGCCAATGATAGGCCATCGGTCCAAATGTTGCTAACAAATCGACTTTTTTAAAAAGCAACTTGTTAGAGCTTCGGGTGATGATGATGGATGACTGTGTCGTTACCGTCATGGACTAAGTGACTTTTGATATCATGTTCAGAATGCCGCCAAACCAACTAGTTTTCCATGGGAAGGGGCAGAGTGATGAGGCTAAATTTAGGGTGAACAGCTAGCGGGCCGCTCTGTTCGTCAGGTTGGCGGAATTGATTGTTAGATGATCGATCTTATTCACTGGCTGTGGGCAGATGGCCTGAAAAGATCAAGTACCAACCGCGTGATGGCAGCCTATTTGGCGAAATATCTCGAGTGGTGTATCATCCGAGCAGGGTTTTAGAAGGATACACATTCCTTTGATGTTTACTGAATTAAGTTGAGGAACAAGAGAGCCACTAATCTTAGTAGAGTGTTGGACTCCAGATTAGTTTCGTTTGCACACATCAGCCAAACCCCACTGCCATGAGGGAAATATACATAAACTGCAGCCTAACCATCAAAACAAAAGCAGAATCATTCTACTATACAAGGGAAATTCGTTTCCAATTTGGCAGTGGGTGGCTGCAAGCATTCCAACAATGGTGCACAGCCAGACAAAAACTATGTAATCCTGGGGGCGAGATGATCAAAGTGGTTGGAGCGCGAATTTACTGACCGGAAGGTCCATGGTTCGAACCCGACCTCTGCCTCTCGACTTCCCCTGTCTAGGCTTGGGCGACCTGGCAGCATCCCATTCCTCATGCTTCCTTCGGGTGGCATGGCAGCTAGGCACCGAAAGTGTGCTACAGCTGAACGAATTTTATGTAATGCTGAATATACGCATTGTGGTTCCTACTAGCAAGGTTCTCAGCTGGCGCAACCCATTTCAACGATGTTTCATAAAGTTTGACCTGGCAGATTTCTTCAGTTTCGCTAAAACGAGTGTATTTCTTCCGCGTACAGCCTAAAGGAAGCCTGTTACAGCATACACAGGAAATGATCAATAAAATGGATTACCAAACTTTCGCTTTGTAGCGCCATGTATTATGCCATGTGTTTTAAGTAAGGTGTAAAAATTCAAGTTTTCGTCAATAACTCAATATGGTTTATTTGTGTACATAGTAGTATAACTGATAAGGGGCTTATTGGACAGATGGCTGCGCCAAAACTACAAGATCAAAGGTGAGAAGACTTACGAAAGCTGGATGACTGTAGTGTTAAGCTGGTGTTTTCCTAACTTTAAACACATCTTTTTGAAGGCAGTCTCTTATATGGTACATACAGTGGACCATCGAAGGCAGTTTATTTCACATATGAATCTATTACCGGAAAGTAGACCCAGCTCAACTTAGTCCCAATCCATTTAGGCCACTTCCTTTTTGCATGTTTCTTACTTGAATTGCTTACTAAGTGCAATTGTTCTAATCCAAGAACTATAACAGCGAAGCATCAGCGCTGAACAGTAATGTTATGCTATCGGAGATGATGATGATGATGATGACGATGGTGAAGCATGAAACAGTTTATTAGGGGTATACCATTAGTATTCTCTTTTGTTAACAACAAAAAACCACTTGGTAAATCGGAAGACGAGAAAGTGACACTAATAAAAACTGTGTTTTGAGGGAGTGAGGTTATAACAACTAGGTACACCTTAATCAAGCCCAATACAATATCAGAAATAGAAAGGTTCAAACGAAGGATTTATCGTTCTGAGTGCAAGTTGTAATAGTTCCACCGAGTTCGTTTGGGTGCAGGTAGTCGTGTTTCTTTTGGCAGATTCCCTTCTACACGATCCTGGTTGTCCGTAGTTTTTTATGGTTGAGCCCGTCTGTGTTCCGACGAGGGAGTGATGCGTGTGTGTATGCTGGATTTTGTTCCGTCCTTATCTATAGGTCGTTGCAATGAGTTGGACATGAAAACAGTGTGAAATCACCTGGTGTGGTTCAAAAGGTCATGGAACGGGAGTTGACATATTGTCGCGTTCATGTTACGATTTTGACGCGTGATTGTGAGACAGACGAAATGGAATGGGGGTAGTAGGTGCCGGTGTGAAATTGATTAGAGGAATAATTAAGCAGAAGGGTAAGCGTTACAATACTAACAGATGCTGTTTCACAGTACACTAAGCTTTGAGGGCATAGCACCACCACTACCTTAAAACCACTCTTGAGGTACCAACAGCAATAGCTTCTGATAGGTTTCTACTGCGGTGAAATGTTGTAGGTAACCATTTGCAATCAGTGGAACTCATTGTAGGAAGTGAAAATTAACCACCAGGATGTTTAACAGAACAAATTAGATATAACGCTGTACCGTACTACCAAGGTTCAAAATTTCAATACGCAGTGGCTCCAGGATATCCAATCTGAAGCAAGAAGCGTTTGAGAAAGTTCGAATTTCTTAAAGAAAAACGAAGAATATATACAGAATTTTTCATGATCTTATTGAAAGTACCGATTTTTTTTGTGGGTCTCAAGTTGTCTGGTGTGGGAAGTAAATTCTCCAACAGGAAGACCTAATTTTAATTTTACTGACTTGTTCGGTCCTCGTAGATTACTGACATGTAAAGCAGACCTCCCGTGAACCCTTTGCGATGTGTTGTTAGCCGGGGTGCTTAGTTGGTTGCTAATCTGAGAAGCTCGGTGTTTGTGTTGGTAAGGAAGTTCAGGAAAAGTGCTGATCTCCTTGAACCTGCTAAGTGTTAAAATCTCCTTGAACTGGACACTTGTGGAGCGACTCAAAGGAATGGTTTCAGATGAACGGATCTTCCCAGCACTGCTTTAACGAGCACACCACTCAAGTGCGTTAGTCCAGCTAGAGTAACCGAATTCTTACCGTCAACATTTCTTCAGAAAATATAATAAGTGACTGGCCAGAAGAAATTCCATCGAGGAACAGTGCTGTCCGCTGTATATCTGTGTCGTTTTCTGAAATGAGTGCTGTTGTGATGGCCTTTAGTTGGTTCCTCAACAGTTTGGTTACGTGACAAATGTGTCTAATGATAAGCCGTCTACCAGTTCTATAGAGGGCATCCCATCGGGACAACGAATTTTACCGTCCAATGAATCGGACGTGTGTTTAACAGTCCACTGGTAGATCCGCCAGCGAAGCATGCATTCACATGCCAAGGATGTACCGCATCTTGTGACCGGCAGTGGATTTTTGTGGGATGATTCCCATCTGACGAAACACGAGCTGGTAGATGCTGAAGTGGTCAGTGCTGAGAAACCGAGAAACGCTGTACAGCCGTCCCTTCGTTTGGAAATCATCAAGATTACGCATCCCATGAACCACTAGAAAGACTCCAATTTAATGTCTTTCATCGGCCAAATTTGGCTGACCAGCATTTAGAATGGATTTAGCATCACCGTATTTAAACAACACAGCCTTTTTAACGTGATTTGACGTGACTAGTAGCCATTTGAGTGAAAACAACCCGGACGGAAGCATATAGGGTAACCCTTGACAACGGTGAGACAGTTTTACAACCGTAATTCAGGCTTTCAGCATTGAATAGCTTTAGGTGTGGAATGATGTATGGATTGATGAAGGGTCGATCGTATCGTTTACTGGGGAGTATATCAGTGAAAAGTCTCGAAAATCCCTTTGCCATATTCATCCTACCGATCCGATGAATATTGTGCTTTGGTAAGAAATACAGAACATCCTGCTCACTAGTTTCCGACGTTTTCACTTCCCGGCGTGAGTCGGAAAAGTTGATTGACCAAGGTGTGCATCCTCAGCACTGTGCTCATACAGACGATAAACGCACACATTTCTTGTCGCTACTTCTAGCCGCTATGCCAGCATATTTGCCACAGACATTTTACTGATCTGATTTACTCACATTCACCTTTTCCTCTCAACACGGGTTGCTGTTGCTCGTATCGTTTGCACTGGTACTGGTGACCATAGGTTGGTCGGATGCACCGATTGCTCCTGAGACGGTTGAGAGAAAAACATTTAGGGATCGAACTGAGCGACTAACCTCTCGCTTACCGAACAGGTGCTCCACCAACAAGGGTATCCAAGTAAATGCCTGCTGTCTATCAAAACTGCAGACAACACACGATTAGCTAGAACGCTGCCCGATAAACTAACAGTTGCCCTCAGTGAGTATCAATGATGAGTTGTTTGTATGATTGATGTATGATGAGCCAGACGTTGGTGTGGCGGAGATACTCGGACGAACTTGAAGTAAAGTGTTAGGACAAAGATTAAGCACCTAGTAGCACCAAAAATACGCCAGGGATTACACTCC